GTGTTTTTACAGTCTTTATTTTACAGTTAAAGTATATGTTTATCATATAAAGTCTAATGTTACAACTAATCGGGGATCCCTTTAATGAAAAGTTAGATCATGTACTGTATAGCTGAAGCACTGTTTTAAGGCCTGAGGAGTATCATGAGAAGTCAGACAAGTGAGAGCCATATTTTAACCCTATCTAAATTACATTTTATTAAGTCAATTCACTGATCTACGTGTCCAAGGCTGGACAAACTTCAACACAGCTGTCTGTTACACGAACACCATACCATCCTGCCCAGAACACCTGATCTTGACCACCATGACTAAATTTGATGTATCTCACTCCTGGTCCATAGTCCTTGAACACGTGGGTCATCTGGAAACAAGCAGATGAGAAAAAAAATCTGTTATTTGGAGCTTTTCTTCAGCTCTGAAACTGAACTTTGACACTTTGTACAGACCTGATGCCACTGCTCACCAATCTGCTCATCAAACTGAGGCAAGTAAATAATGTCAGGAGTAAAATCCTGAACRACGGCATTCTTGCGATCCAGCAGCTGCACAGAGATCCTATATTCACAGCGACACCGAGGCGCGTACCTAACGCGACACAGACACACAAATCAGAAACACACTGTTCCCTCTGTTTAGTTCTCTGCTAATTATCTAAGTTTTATCAGTCGTTCTCACCAGTCAGATATTCTGATTGGAGGCTGGAACTCATCCATAAACGATGGGTTGTAGCCCTCTTTCTTCAAATCAATCGTTTGTGACTTTATGCACATGCTGCAGACAACAGAGGGTTTAAGAGGTGGGAATGATCACGTCTGCATTACTGAAGAAAACATGAGATCACTGCAGGTAATTGCTCACTTGTAAGACGTCACAAAGTTCGTCTGAACCGCCTCGTTCGGATGTGGCACAATAGGTCGCTCCACGTTCCATCTGTCTCCACCATTGAGTAAAATCGTCCAACCTCGAAGTTCATCTTACAAAACAAAACACACAAAAGAACTGAACATCTGCTTTTACCCAGCAAGACAATAACTGCAATTGTTCCGCCTTTTCACCTTCTCCCCTTGGATTCCTGAGGAGGTTTCTTCTTCTCTTGCACAAGAAATAAAACAACCTCCACTCACTGGGGACCTTGGAGGCATCGTGGACGTGATAGCCCTCTCTTCTACACCTTTCTCTCCAGAAGGACTCTCTGTCGGCGACTTCTTTCCACTGATGACACACCAGGCGACACACACGCACCACTAGATGGGGCGGCAGATTGAGGAAAATTTCCTCCAGGATGTCCAGCGGCAGAGCGCAGGCCTGACAAAAACACAAAGCAAACTAATGAGATGAAGCTTTGAACAAAAACAAATAAAAATAAATGCAAAAAAAAGTCATTTTTTTTATCACCGGCATTAGATTCTTAATC